ATGGAATTAATCAGGACCAGAATAACCAGTGTGGTGTAGTGGTGAAGAGCATGGGACTGGGACTCAGACAATCTGGGTTCTAGTACCTGCTCAGCCATGGAGCCAACTGGGTGACTTTGGGCCAGTCACAGACTCTCAGCCCAACCTACCTCACAGGGTTGTTGTGGGGATAAGATGGAAGAGGAGATGTAAGCTGCCTTGAGCCCTTTGTAGGAAAAAGCCAGGCTATAAATTGGAAAAAATAAAATAAATAAATAACCACTCCCTGTGGGTTATCACTACATAAGAGCCCAGCTGGATCAGAACAGGGTCCAGCTAGCCCAGTATTGTATTCATATGATGGCCAACCAGGTGCCCACAAGTTCCTACAAGTGGACATGAATGCAACAGCACCCTCCTGCCCATGTTCTCCAGCAACAGGTGCACATTGTCATATTGCCTTGGAGGCTGCATAGAGCCATCAGGCCCAGCAGCCATTGGCAGCCTTCTCTTCCATGAATCTATCCAATCCCCTTTTCAAATGGGGGCCATCACTACATTTTGTGGAAGTGAATGCCATGCTTTAACTATGCACTGGGTGAAAATGTCCGTCCTTTTTATCTGTCCGGAAGTTACCACCCATCAGATTCATGCATTCTAGAAGACTACCCTCTCTTTCTGCCCCATGCGTAATTTTATCCCATATTATGTCCCCCTCTAAGCTAATCAACCTGAAATGTTGTAACCTCTCAGCAGAAATTAGTTTCTCTCACACCAGTTTCTATTTCTTGGGCTCATTTTAAAATCCAGACTTGAACAGACTTGAGCCTTGGCTTATCTAGCCCCATCTTGTCAACACTGATTGGCAGCAGCTCTCCAGGGTTTCAAGAAGGAGGTTTTCATGGCTTTTCCTGGTAATGGTGAGGAATGAACTTGGGTCCTTCTGCAGGCAAAACGTGCACTTTGCAACTGAGCTGAGCCACTGCCCCTCTTTTTTAGAAATTTATGGTAAAGATGCCCCCATTCCAATTTTACTACTCCTCGGTTTCGTTTTTCCCTCCACACACATCCAAGAGTCTATCTTTGGCTTGCCTTCCCAGAAGTCACTTTGTTGTTCTCAGTGACTCTGTCCTGGGACACAGTCAAGGTGACAGGTTGGCATATTTCCTACCTACAGGCTGGTAGGAAATTGTAGCTGGCATGTTTGCTTTCTACGTCAGCTTTAACAGCAAGTGAAGCCAGGCTGCCTGTCCAAGAACCAGTCTGAACTTCTTTTCATTCCGTACGTCTGGCCAACTTACTTGCTGTGTGCATGTTGGTGAATGCATGTGCCTGTCCAAAGATTTTTTGCAGCTGTTGTGTGTTAGGAGATCATCTGCAACTGGCTGGACGTTGTGTGGTGGCAGCTGCACGGCTTGTCCTGCCAGTGATATGTGCACGCCCATGGTCCTGTGCGTGGCTCTGTCTCCATCTTCATGTCACCTGGAGTGTATGAAAGCAACTTTCTGTCTTATGCTACCCCAGATGTGACTCGGGGATTGGCTTGTTGACGAGAGGTTCCGGAGTCCTGTTCTTGTAACAAGTCCATGCTTCTGCATGCGCACACACACACACACACACACACACACACACTTTTCTTACCCTACTCCATCAGTGTGTGCACCAAGCAGCTCAGCTTTGCTGGCTTTTGCAACTCGGCTTGTCTCTAGTTTTGTCCACTTTGCACAATAAGGCTAACCCAGTGTAGGCTTGCAGAAGCCAAGGCAAGAGGCCATAACGTGGTTTTTAGTGTAGCAATGCCCTGCCCTTGACCTGGGCTGTTAAAAGTCCCTGAAATATGCAAATCCCTCTCTGGTTATTACATTTTGATCCTGCCTTGTTCCCTCTCGCAAGCAGCCCCAGCCAGGCAGGCAGTTTATATGATCCTCGTCCTTTCCACTTGTATCTTCACAACGATCCTATCAAGTAGATGAGGCTGAAAGTCAGTGATGGGCCAAAGCCATCCGGTGACTGAGTAGGGTCTTGTACCCCAATCTCCTGGGTCCCAGTCCAACACTCTAACCACTATTCCACACTGGCCCTCTCTGCTTCCTTTCACAGCCCTCCTTTGAACAGCCCATCCCAGCCCAGGAGTTAAAGTGTAGCCCAGCAAAGCTGTTCCTCTAGATCGTGGGCAGGAGGGACAAACAGCACCAGCAGGCCTGGCTCGACAGAAGAGAGAAGGCCTGGGACTGATGGGCTGAGATTGTCCCTGGTGTACAGGTATCTGGGTGTCCCGAATTGGTAATCTTCTTGATAGGAGCTATTATTAGTGATGGTATAAAGAAAAAGGAGGAAAAACACTTTGTTATAAAAGTGCAAATAATTACTGAGCTGAGGTCTATAGGCCCACATTTATTTTTTATTTAAAATATTGTTAAATGGGTGTGATGCATATTTTGTTCTCTTATGTACTAAGTAAAAGCTACTCCATCAGCCCAGCCAGGGGCAGGAGAGACTCCATGGAAGGGAGAAGACCTGTGGCCTGGGGCGGATAGATGAGAGTATCCCTAATTTACAGGCCCATGCAGTACTTCCAACAAGAGGATACCTCTTCAGTGCCCACATGTGGAAGAAGAGGACTTGTATGGCGCTCAGGTCTCTGAAAGCACCTTGGGGGGTTTTCTCGCTTGGCTGCTCTTGCAGAGACCTTGCACAGCCTTTATGTTTGTGTGCAGTACACCATCTTGTGCAACTGAAATTGTGCTGTTGTTAAATTCATGTCACACATTATGTTGTTTTCTAGATTTCTGATAACATTTATATTTGAATATGTGATCTGTTTTTTTTCCTTGAAGCAACTTATGATTTTAGAGACACACAGGGTAAAATATTGGAGTGAACCTATGCCCTCTATCAGCTAGCTGGCAGGGTTATCAAAGCACTGGGCCAAAAGCACTGTTCCTACTGGTACAGTAATCAGTAGCCATTCGCATGTGTAAAGATTAGAATTCTCTGCCCAAGTTTGCTCATGAAACTCCTGTAGTGTCCGCCGTGTCCTCCTGTAGTACTCTGAATTGTTTTGTGCAAATCAAGCCAATCTCATTCTTCTCCAACCTGTGAGCTTTTCTATAAGAGCCACCCCAAGCCCTGTGTCACAAAATCTTGATTCCTCCCCCGCACATAGTGCTTAAGTGTCTAACATGTTCATTTACTTCCCTAGCACCCTTCCACCCCCATATTTGGTGTTGAACATTTCCTTTCCTTTGCGTATGTTATTCCATTTCATCAGTTTCTTTTCATCTTTTCCTTCATCTCTCCATAGCAAGATTCAGCAACTTGTAGAACTCCAGTTTTGGCCTACAATTCCCGTCAACCCTTACTATTGGCTGCGCTGGTAGAACTGATGGGAGTAGAAGGCCATACCCTCTGAAAGGTCACAAGTTGCCCAACTATGCTTTGAAGGCTTAATCAAATAAGCTTCAGGTCCAAGATATGCTCTGTTTGTACAGCCTCCAAATCTGTTTTGTACCCCATTTATACATTCCTTAACTTCTCTATATTTTGTAAGAAAACATCTCTTTGTCTGTAAGCCTTGATCTGTGGTTTATTGGTGATTTCCTCTGGTTACCTCCCTTCCTGTGGTGCACCATGTTGCTGATTCCAAAGTCCAAGAACAGAAATTTCAGCTAAGGATGGAACTTTTGCATGATTTCCCCCCCATTCTAAAAGCTTGAAATGACGCTCCCAAGGCTAACTTACGTACTGTCAGTAAGAGCTTTGAGCTACAATAGGCTGGTGCGTGCTGTGTGCTTGGCAAAACTTTGCTTTCAGCTCTGCCTGTTCCTGGCAGGCACCCTCTGAGAGCTTCTCTGAAAGGAATTTGGCCCTTAGGCCTGCAGCAGAGAGAAGGAATGAAAGAGAAGGGTAAGGAGGGATGATTGCCAGCAGATAATATCACACATTTTCAGGGCTGGTCCTCTCATGAGCCAGGGTGAATCCCCCTCCTCAGGCAACAGATCTGGAAGGGGGATGGATCCTTCATGTGCCGCTGCCGGGATTGCCCTGAGTCTCATCAGGGCTGCTGGAGTGATTTGCTTCCAGAAGCGAGGCATGGGATGGGCAGCTGTGCAGCAGGGGCCCATCTCCTGCTGTGGCAAAGGAAATACGCAGCTCTCTGGATGGTTGCTCACCGTGCATCCCCACTGGGAAGCCTGCCTGGCCCAATTGCCTTCCTCTGCATGGGGGATCCATTATGAAAGCCAGGCATTGGTGGGGAAGCAGCCCTGGAGATGGACCTCCTCAGATGGCGGTAGTGAAGCACAGGTGAGTAAAGGCCCCTCCTAGATAGGAGAGGGGAAGAGGGTGGAAATGGAGGGTGAGGGCAGCAGTGGCTTGCATGTGGCAGTGGTGGCATCTCATGGGGCGCTCTCCTCCCTGCCCCTGGGGCACTGGTGCTCTTCTTTCCCCCATGTAGCAGTGGTGGCTCCTATGTCTGTGCATAGCAGCAGCATACCCACTGCTGCTTAATAAAACGTGAACCGTGCTGATTGTCTCTGTGCGCATGCTAGAGACAATGTGGCATCTCAATGAGCCAAAGCTCCTCAACAATAACTTGCGTGCAAATTGGGATGCTTTGACAGGATGCTCAGCCTTAGAAGCAGCTTCTCTCGGCACCACAACGGAGCCCTGAAACTTGGGTGAAGCAGCAGTAAAGAACCAAGTGCCCTTGGGCATGTGCAGAATGCTAGCATCCCCAGCCATCCCATACCCGCAGGGTTCTGCGGCCCACGAGCTTCCACCTCTGGGAACCGATTCTTCCGAAATTAGCCACGTGTATGCTGCTTGCAGGCACTGTGCCATGAAGGCAGGAGGCGCACGAAGAGAGTTGCTGAGAACACGTGCATGGCCGTGTCTCTCTTGGGTCCCGACTGAAGCTTCCCGTGGCCTGAGAACGATGGGCGGTTTCTCTCGTTCTCGTTTCTAGGAGGGCTCTCGCTTGCTGCCTGCCTCCTCTGGGGCGGGGAAGCGGGCAGCAGGAGGCGGCGCCAGGAGGCACCCCTGGCCTTAGGTGTAAGCCGGGCAGTTGCCGCGCGTACTTTTCCTGCCGCCAGCCCGCGGGGGCCTCCATCTCCAGTCGCCATGCTCCCTCGGCACCGGGCCCGCCTGCTCTTTCCCCTCCTCCTCCTCCTCCTCCTCGTGGGCTGCGGGGTTGAGAGCCGGTCACAGGAGGAGGAAGAGCGGGGGAGTGACGGCGAAACTCCGTTCCGGACGCTGCAGCTTGAAACCCTGGTGAGTGTGCGTGGCCTGGCTGGCTGGCTGGCAAACTCCAGTTGCAGTGCCGCCGGGTGCGCTTCTAAGCAGCCTCTCTGCCGGCCCACATGACAGTTGAGGAGACTCACTCGGTGGGGCACGGGATCCTGCCCCACAGCAGCTGAGGCGATCGGGGTCCTTCTCATCACATGCGCGATTGGATCATGCCGCTGTGGCGCGGCGGTGCGCGCACAAAAAAGACGCGTCTCTCTCAGGCAGCCTTCAGCAACCTGGTGCCGTCCAGATGTTTTGGGCTTCAACCATTAGCCCCAGCCAGCATGGCCAACGCTTAGGAATTCTGGGAACAGTAGTCCAACACGGTCCGAAGAGCGCCGGGTTGGGGAAGCCTGCTCTTGCAGGTCGACGGTAATCGGCAGTTCTCATCGCAGTGATGAACGCGTTAGCATCCCGAGTAACAGACTGGGAGGAATAAGCGCTACACCGTTTCCCACTCCCCATTTCACTACTCCGCGCCTCTTGCTGTCTCTCGCCTTCGCAGGTGGCGCCCCCCGACGGCTGCGTGGAGCGCTCGGCGATAGGCGACACGATTCAAATCCACTATACGGTGAGTAAATAAAGGGAGCGAGGTGGGCGGGCTGCCAGAGAAAAGCAAAAAGCCGCACGAACACGTCAGCACAGCCGCCTCCCTCCAAGTATCCCAGCCTTTTCGGGTGGAGCTTCCATGAGCTCCGCCCTCCCGCTGGGGGCGGGTAGAAAAATACTCAAGAAGCCTGCGAAAGAGCAGCAGCAGCAGCAGCAGCACCCCATCAGGGACGGGTGCTAAGGAGTGGCTCGTGAGGGCTGAAATCCTGACGTCCGATCTCCGTCTCTTAGCTGGCTTTTTCTGCACTGACTGAGGCTTTTTCCTCTGATCAAATGCCCTTCCCTTCTTTATGCATCCTTTCTTTACAAATGGTGTAAATTGGGAATAAGGGCCAGACATGCACAAGGGCTTTAAAGCATCAATAAATCAGCATTTGCAAATGTGTACTTTTTCTTTTGCCTGCAGGTATGAGCCCTGAATCTTTTCATTACCTAGCACTGCCCTTGCCCCCCATCAACCACCTTGCCCTGTGCAGAGGCAGTAACCCTTCTAGTTACCCTGAGTGGTGCTGAGGATCAAGTCATTCTTGCTGTGCCCCTTCATGAACTGAGCGGGTAACCTAGAATACACAGTAGTTCAGTGTAGGCCTTTTCTCCATGGTGTTTTGATGATGTTTGGGAGATAAAGGAATGCTTCTTCCAAGATCTCTCAATGCTTCTCCCAAGCATCTGAGTCTTGCAGCTTGTCCATATTTGCTTTTAAAATAATGGAAAGCTGTTCTCTCACATTCGAAATTACCACTAGACTTGTTTTCACCTATGGCACAGTGTTGCTCAATTTGCCTCAGAACCGCAATTTCAACACTTCCTTTTTCTTTTTTTTACAGCCTGGGAAGCAGCAGCTCTGCTGTCACTAGCTAGGAACAATGCAATCCTAAGCATGTCTAGACAGAAAAAAGTCCTACAAGTACCAGCATTCTCGATCCTGCAGAGGTCGCATGCCTTTTTTCTGCCTAAACATGCAGAAGATTGTGCCTAAATTCAGAAATCCACATGTTGTTTTGTTGCAGGGTAGCCTTGAAGATGGCCGCATTATTGATACCTCACTTTCCCGTGATCCGTTGCAAGTGGAGCTGGGAAAACGACAAGTCATTCCAGGTACATCTCTGACATTCATATGATTGTACTACATTTGGCTAAAGGAGGCACCTGGGAAAATGCACAAGGGTTGGACCATAAACTTTTTGTTTGCACTTCTGGACCTTCTACAAAGGAGCATCTGTAACTGTTTACTCCCATTTTTCTCACATTCCCCCCACCACCTTTGTCATCTTTTATCAGCAAAATGAATGTCAACAGGGAAAAATGCAAAGTACTGTATTTAGGAAAGGAAAAATCAGACACGCTTACGTGAGCCTCTGCTTGCAGTCTGGCATGACAGTGTCCAGACAGATGCTTACCACATCAGCAAGAACCAGGCCTCAGTACACCCATCCCAACCTAGAACCGCACCAAATGGGCAGAAAGTAAATTGCCTTTCTTTCTTTATTCAGGGTTGGAACAGAGTCTGCTGGATATGTGTATTGGGTAAGTAACCTACCGGCTGCTTGGCTTGTTGTCTAGGTCACTGTGTTTGAACTTGTCAAGGTATTTTTTGCAGGTGGTATTTGATCAGCACAGAAATCAGATTGATTATGTGCTCTGCAGCCAAAGATGGAGAAGTTCTATACAGTCGGTAAAAACAACACCAGGAGCTGACTGTGGCTCAGATCATGAGCTTCTTGTTGCAAAGTTTAGGCTTAAATTGAAGAAAGTAGGGAAAAGCATTAGGCCACTCAGGTATGACCTAAATCATATTCCTGATGAATATACAGTACAGGTGACAAATAGACTTAAGGAATTAGATCTGATAGAGTGCCTGAAGAAGTATGGACGGAGCAAAATGGCTGTCTGAGGAAGCTTTACAAATAGCTGAGGAAAGAAGGGAAGCAAAAGGCAAGGGAGAAAGAGAAATATACACCCAATTGAATGCAGAATTCCAGAGAATAGCTAGAAGAGATAAGAATGCCTTCTTAAATGAACAGTGTAAAGAAACAGAAGAAAAGAATAGACTAGGGAGGACCAGAGATCTCTTCAAGAAAATTGGAGATATGAAGGGAATGTTTCATGCAAAGATGGGCATGATAAAGGATCAAAATGGCAGGGACCTAACAGAGGCAGAAGAGATTAAGAAGAGGTGGCAAGATTACACAGAGGAACTATACAAGAATGAGCTTAACGTCCCTGATAACCACGGTGGGGTGGTCACTGACCTCGAGCCAGACATCCTGGAATGTGAAGTTAAATGGGCCTTAGGATGTCTGAGCAACAACAAAGCTAGTGGAGGCGACAGTATTCCAGCTGAGCTATTCAAAATCCTAAAAGACGATGCAGTAAAAGTGCTACACTCAATATGCCAGCAAATTTGGAAAACTCAATCACAAGTGGCCACAAGATTGGAAAAGATCAGTTTACATTCCGATCCCAAAGAAGGGCAATGCCAAAGAATGTTCAAACTACCGCATCATTGCACTCATTTCACATGCTAGCAACGTTATGCTCAAAATCCTACAAGCTACACTCCAGCAGTATGTGGACCGAGAACTACCAGAAGTACAGGCAGGATTTCAAAGAGGCAGAGGAACTAGAGATCAAATTGCCAACACACGCTGGATCATGGAGAAAGCTAGGGAGTTCCAGAAAAACATCTACTTCTGCTTCATTGACTATGCTAAAGCCTTTGATTGTGTGGATCACAACCAATTGTGGCAAGTCCTTAAAGAGATGGGAGTACCAGACCATCTTATTTGTCTCTTGAGAAACCTGTATGTGGGTCAAGAAGCAACAGTGAGAACTGGACATGGAACCACTGATTGGTTCAAAATTGAGAAAGGAGTTTGGCAAAGCTGTATAGTGTTGTCCTGCCTATTTAACTTATATGCAGAGCACATCATGAGAAAGGCAGGCTAGATGAATCACCAGTTGGAATTAAGATTGCTGGGAGAAATATCAACAACCTCAGATATGCAGATGATACCACTCTCATGGCAGAAGGTGAAGAGGAACTAAAGAGCCTCTTGATGAGGGTGAAGGAGGAGAGCACAAAAGTTGGCTTGAAACTCAACATTAAGAAAACTAAGATCATGGCATCCGGTTCTCTCACGTCCTGGCAAATAGATGGGGAAGAAATGAGTGACAGATTTTATTTTCCTGGGCTCCAAGATCACTGCAGATGGGGACTGCAGCCAAGAAATTAAAAGACGCTTGCTCCTGGGGAGGAAAGTTATGGCAAATCTAGACAGTATACTAAAAAGCAGAGACATCACCCTGCCAACAAAAGCGCGTATAGTCAAGACTATGGTTTTCCCAGTTGCAATGTATGGCTGTGAAAGTTGGACCATAAGGAAGGCTGAGCGCCAAAGGATCGAGGCCTTTGAATTGTGGTGCTGGAGGAGACTCCTGCGAGTCCCTTGGACCGCAAGGCGAGCAAACTGGTCAGTCCTAGAGGAGATCAACCCTGACTGCTCTTTAGAAGGCCAGATACTGATGATGAAACTCAAATACTTTGGCCACCTAATGAGAAGGAAGGACTCCCTGGAGAAGAGCCTAATGCTGGGAACAACAGATGGCAAAAGAAGGAGGGGACGGCAGAGAATGTGGTGGCTGGATGGAGTCACTGAAGCAGTCGGCGTGAGCTTGAGTCGACTCCGGGGGATGGTGGAGGACTGGAAGGCCTGCAGGAATGTTGTCCATGGGGTCAAGATGGGTCGGACACGACTTCACAACTAACAACAACATTGGAAAGGGTGTATTTATTTTGAAGATGAACACCTTGCCTTTCAAATGAGTTGCCCTCAAGGCAGCCTACAACAAATTGCAGCAATGCAAAACAAAATGGTCATAGCTGCTTAGAAGCCAGTGGCCCTTAGTTCCCTGGCAGATGAATGAAGCCCAGGGCCTGCTTCCCTTCAGCTTTGCAGCCTCAAGGCATTTGGTGGCTGGAGGGAGTGTTCCTTTAGGCAGGGGAGCGGGTTCCCTGCAGCGGTCCTTTCTCTGGCTGTTGGATGGGACCAGGCTGGTCTTCATCTGGCTGTGACAGAGGCAGGATGTACAAACTCCCTGTTGCTCTTGACTGTTTAGCTAACAGACAAAGCCAGAGAGTGTTTTGCAGTGTATCTCTCTGGGTACATCTATGCTATTGACCTAGGATTCAATGAGATTGGCTTCTGAATATAGGATTGCACAGCTAAACTATTTTAACTGGTATTGGGTTGGATTCAACATGATAATTTTGCCAGCAGAACCAGAAAAGTGAGACCGCACGCCTTTGAAATATGTACCACAAGACTGGAAAACTCTCCAGAGCAGATTTTAGGGTGGCATGGGGGGCCTGATGGAGGGAGGGGAGGGGTAGAACTATCACACTAGCAGACTTCTGATGGTGTGCTATTGGATTTAACTTGTGAACTGTAATACAGTGAGCAGGTGGAGAAGGATTCTCCAATGGTGAATCTTCAGCAGTCTCATGAACCGCAATTCCTAGAGAGAAGCTGTGACAGTGAAACTAGTATAAAACTATTGTATACATTTAATGTTGAACTGTGAGGCTGTTCTGCTAGAAACTGAGGCCAAGATCATTTGCACTATTGTACTCTTGATCACTGTATATGGGTGTGAAAGCTGGATAGTGAAGAAAGCTGACAGGAAGAAAATGGATGCATTTGGAACATGGTGCTGGAGGACAGCTTTGTGAATACACGATGGAGTGACAGGAAGATGAACAAGTGGGTTCTGGATCAAATCAAGCCAGAACTTTCCCTAGAAGCTAAAATGATGAAACGGAAAACACAATTATGACAGAGGAAGTTGAAGAGGGAAGAGGAAGACCAACTCTGAGATTCTATTAAAGAAGTAACACTTTTGAGTTTACAAAAGCTAAGCGGGGCTGTCAAGGACAGGGCAGTTTGAAGGGCCTTCATTCAAAGGGCTGCTGTACGGCAGAGACAACTTGATGGCACATAACAGCAGCACAGTTAATGCACATGTGGACTCTGTTGATTGCTGCTGTGGGGAGCTGGTGGAGGCATCCTCAATTTCTGTATGTACAGCTATAAAAGTGGAATGTTTTCGTTTATTTGGTGTCCTTTCCCTAAAACTCTCACTTTGGGATTTTAATGTAACCCATAATTTCTCCTATTATATTAGTTATTGAATACTGATTAAAGTATATGAGTCTGGTACCTTTTTACACTGAGACTCAAACCCTTTACTTTGAAAGCTTCAGTGTGATGAAGCTTAAAAGCCCTCAGGGCAGTGGTAAGTACCTACACAAAGCTAGGAGATCCTGTAAGAACTTGTCTGACATGTCTGTCCAGCCTGCCTCTGAAGCCTTTTCCTACCCACAAGGAAGAAGATTCCATAGCTCATTTCTCCAAAGATGGCAATTCTAAGCTAGGTTTACTGATCTCCAGTATCAGATCCCTTTCCGGTGAAAACGGCTTCGTGTCCAAGCATCCTGTCCTCAAGTATTAAGATGATCTTCCATTTTCTCTGGCAGGGAGAAACGAAGAGTCATCATCCCCCCTCACCTGGCATACGGCAAACGAGGATCCCCACCAGCCATTCCAGGTAGGATTCACACAGTAGCCTCTACTAGACAGCCATTCAGCAGGGTATCTTGGCTGGGGGTAATCAAGCTCCAGAGAGTGTTCTTATAGATGGGCTTGTCCACCTCTGCTGCCTTAGGGCAGGAGTGCAGAGCATCAGGCCCGGGGGCCAAGTTGACCAAGACAAAAGCTAGGAAAGCAATGTGGAGATAGCTGTAGTGAGAAAAAGAGAAGCATGGAAGGGAGCCCCAGTCTCACTGGATGCACATGAGTGCTATGGAGACAATGTGGCTGCAAACACACCTACCTCAGAATTACACTTCTGGCCAGCTGGGTTAAGACATGAGGTTTTTTGCTAGAGTGGGGCTCAATGAAGGTCACCTGTGCTCCTCTCCCAAACGCACAGCAGTCCCATTTGCCCAGCCCCTCAGGGTGCGTGCGTGCACCGATGCCTATGTGCTTACTGCCCAGTTATGCCCTTGGTGGGTGAGGTCTTTTTTTTTTTTATCAGCCGGGCTTGAGTGTAGTTGCAGTTAGACAAGCAGCCATGCCTCCCCCCACTTACAACTTGCCTTGGCCACAATGGCCTGGTCACGCATCCAGTCCTGCACTGAAGTAGTGCCCAGTCCCGTGACCCACAGCACACGTGCAGGTAATAGCAAAGCTGTGTAAGCATTTGTCTCCTAATCAGCATGCAAGGGGAAGGGGAAGGGGAAGGCAGCTCTTTTGGTTCCCTACACAGGCCATCCTGTGGGCAATGCAGAGCCCCAGAAGGTCCTCCTACAACCATCTTGGAGAAAGGGCTGGAGGGAGGGCTTGCCTGGCACAAGGAAACATGGCTAGAGGCTTCTTTCTCCTGTGCCTGGTGTAGGCATTGCTGTGGTTGCAATGATACAAACCACTGGGTGGCTTCCTCTGGCGAGGCTGCTTCCACTCCTAGCCCCGCCTTGCCTGCGGTATGTTTATTGCCTGCCGGCTGCTCCCTTTGCCCTGCACAGCCCTGCTTGACTGACCTCCTCCTCCCTTCCAGCTGATGCAGTCCTGCAGTTTGAGGTGGAGCTGGTAGGGCTTTCTCGAGCCACCTATGGGCAGAAGCTGGTCAACAACGTGCTGCCCATGTTGTGCATGGTGCTTGTTCCAGGGCTGCTGGGGCTCATTGGCTACCACCTCTACCACAAGGCCCAGACGCCCCGGGTGTCCAAGAAGAAACTCAAGGAGGAGAAGAGAAACAAGGCCAAGAAAAAATAAAGCTGCTCTTGATCTTTTTTCAACATGGCTTTGTGGCTGCTTCTGTGGTGGGTTGGGAAGTGCCCGCTCTCTCTCTCCCTCACACACAGACACAAAGATGAGGGAGGCTAGATGCAGGCTGGACATCTTCCAGTGAGGCACCAAAGAATTAAAATGAGTATGACTGGCCTCCTGTGCTAGGATCTTGTCATCTGAACTGTCTTTAACTAAGATAGGATACAAAGGAAGTTTGAATCAAGTATGTTAGTACAAGATCCCTTACCTCTGCAGATGGTAAAGCACTGAAAGCCAGCTAGGAAATACACTGTAAGCAGTACCTGCTCATTAACCATAGAAAAGTTTAAAATTCCCAGTGATCCTATACATCTTTAGCATAGATTGTGCCTGAAACAGAGGAAACGGAGGTGCTTCTGCAATCCATTGGGTTCACTTTCAGTAAGACTTTACCCCATCCTTCTTGGGCACTGTAGTCACATGAGGGTGCCTCGGGATTGCTAAAAAGGGCTTTTCAGAACCCACAACAGACTACAACTCCCAAGATTTCAAGGGGAAGAGCTACGTAAGTGATACTGGCATTAAACAGACATACGCTTGTAGTATAGGCATGCCTTCAGAATAAGGGTTAATTCCCACTGCTGTCCATAGCTACTCACAGGACACATGCCTGCCTCTAAGGCTGTCAGCAGCTTTTGGGAGGACTCCGTGTATCTCGTGTCCTGGGGATTGTGCCTTCACTGTGACCCTGACCCCCACCCTCCTGTATTCTTCTCTGAATTCTTGGAGCAAGAATTCAAAACAAAACAAAGGCAGAGAAGATGGGAGGCAAGAACCTCACATACAGCCCAGTCAGAACTTGAACAGGTTCAAAACCAATCCTGCTGCTTGTGCACCACAGCAGCTACTGCAACAAAAGGCTGTGTGCATGTACGTTTTAAAAGCTTGCACGTAGGTGTGAGGGCTGCTGGGCGGGTGTAGATGTACCACAACATGAGTTCTTAATATTCCAGCCTGGCTGGCTTTACTTGCAGAGGGGAGAAAAGGCTCCAAGATGCACAGCTCTGTTTAACTCTTTAATGGCCGCATGCTGTGGGAGCAGCCTTCCCCAAAAGGCCCAGTCCAGTATCCTGGATGGGGTGGCTTGCGGGCCTCTTACTTATTCCCAGTGGCCTATTAATGGGGCAGAAGACAAACATCTGAAATCACAAGGTGCTGGCTCAGAGGATATGTGAAACCTCATGTGCCGCCTCTATTACATTATAGACTGGCCGCTTGACCTGGGCCTCTCCAACAGGCACAGGCTGGGGCCGAGATGGGGCAACAGTCTGCTGGTTGACGATCACCAGTGGGTTGATCTGGCTCAGGACCTCCTCATTCACGGAGATGCCATCCAGGTACTGCTTGAGCAAGCGCCTCAGCTTCAGGTTGTCCTGGAGCAGGGCTTCTTTAGTCCGCTCTAGTGAGAGCTGTTCCAGTCTCACCTTGTTGTAGCGCTTCCAAAAGCGCTCCAGGCCCACATAGTCCTGCATCATCTGTAAAAAGACATGGAAAACGCAGAAGTCTGGGCTGGCTGCAAGGAGGTGCACTGCCCTCTTATTTTGGAGAACGACCAGGACTTCACCCAGAAACAAACGCCTGCTTAGTGAGAAAAGCTGTGTTGTGTGCAATGCACCTCACAGGCAGACTCTAAATCAAGAGATGCTTGTGAATGCAACAGCCCAAGAACATGTTACATAGATAATTTCCTGCAACTGCAGAGCTCTCAGAAAGGAGAGGAGCACTATAGGCAGGTCTGCCTGAGAAGAAGGGATACGTTGAATTGCATTCTGGGGGGAAAAAACAGAGGCAAGGTTTCTTGGAGGAAAAAAGAACAAGATATAAATGTAATAACAACAAAATAATAAAATATAGAGCCAAACTACACATGATGCCAATCAATCAGGTCACATTAGGTTGTGGGTTTTCCCCCGTGAATAGCAGATGTCTGGGCATGAGATCAGGACTGTGATATAGAAGGTTAACTGTATCCATCCCTGCCAAATCTTGAGGAAAATCCCTCCCCAAAACTGCTGCAAGCCTTGGGACAGATGCTTCCATTGAGTTTTATCTCAATCTTTTCAATCCGTTTGGAAATACATAGCAGGGAATGCCAACCTGACTAAGCCCCGGGGATACAGAATGATCCTAATGTTCCACGTGGGATTAATTCAGACAGTGAGTTGAGAACAGTACGCCCCTCTTTGCTTGTGAAGGAAAGAGATGTGCACCCCACCCATTTCATACTCACCTCAGCTAGAGGCTCAACTGGTTTTTCCATGGCCACCTTATCTGCAACCTTCTGTTCATCCCAGCTCAGGGAGCTGGCATAAAATGGCAGCACCTTCTCCTCCTCAGACTCCAGCCTGCGACACATTTCAGCCAGGCGCAAGATCAGCTCTGCCTGTGGGGACAATGAAGCAAGATATGATTTAGTTTTCCTCTAGGTCTGGCACAGGGGAAACTTTCCAAGCCTGAGGCTTACACAGAGAAAGCTGTGCTCCCTGAACTGGGCTTGTAATCCTGCAAGGTGGGAATTAGGAACATATAATTTTCAGCCCTTCACCAAATGACAATTCCTAGGATTCTTTTGGGTTTCCAGACCCTCTTCAGTTCATGTTCAGAAAGTAAGGGGGGTCTCCCTTTTCTGCCTGGGCAGGGAAGGCTTGGGTGGAGATGGCCAGAGTTATTCCAGGCCACAGGAGGCCCACAGCCTGTGGCTTGCCCACTCCTTCCTCAGGAGAGGTTATGATGATTAAATTAGTATAAAAAACAATGTATGTCTGCAGCATAGATAAACCTTTAGTCTCCAGCAAGCATAGCAGGAGAGGCCATGAACTACATAAGATCACTTTGGCAGAACAGCTGCATCCCATGGGACCTGCTTTGTTCTCTGCGGCATTTTAATTTCCAGCACCTGTGTCAGGACAGTTAAAAACAATGCAGAGAAAGAACAATATAGAGAAAGAGCTCTATATCTTCTAGAAAGAGAATGATCCCTGCCCAACCAGCCTATGCCTTTAAGAGCCACCCTATATTATGTTTGGTTCAACACTGAAATAATATCTGTGTAAGAAGTAAAACTGTGCAGCTATCTTTTTCCAGTGACATAATTCTAGGTTGCTCTGAACAGTGGCTTCCAAACAGATCATTATGACAAAACAAGACACTTGCACCATTTCTGTACAGTAGTGCATGTAGTTCCCGGCCCCAAAATAGAGATCTACAGATTTTTAATGTATATCTAAAAAATAACGTTAATGTGATAAACACAAGTTTACATTTATCACATCTCAGAGCCAAAATCAGCAACATCTCTTTGACAAGTGTAGACTATGTGAGAAGTTTGGTGCCACATAATGTCTGGAGAGGTCCTCCAGCTTCTAAGGCAAAAAGGAAATAATGAGGGGTTTGAATATCTATCTATTCCTGCCATCCAAAGCTGCATGGATCAATATCCAATAGCCTGTTACATACCACATTCCAAAAATCGTGTTAAATGATTATAAAGAGCCACATACCAAAAATCATTACATATGAAGGCACCCTTAGTATACTTTTCTGTCATCCCCACAGCTTCTCCTCCCAACAAGAATTCCTAAACATCTAATCCAGCCATGATTTTCCCCCTTTCTGCAGCCAGATATCCTATCTCTGGCCCCAGCAGTCCTGATGTCACTGCCTCTGAATCCAGATGGAGTCGTTTACAACTGGGCTGGTAGAAGTGGACTTCCCTTCCCCCTCCTCCCCACATCATCCCCTGCAGCTTCTTGAAAATGCTACACAGTGGGTCAGGGGAACCCACTGAACAGGCCAAGCTGTGTGGAGTGCAACCCCTAAAAATCAGGTAGAGACACCTTCCATGTGTGAAACCTTTCTGTTCATATAAAATCAGATCCTGGACCCAACCTCTTATCTTCTCTCAAAAGTGCTGTCCCAGCATGGCTAAGAAAAGCAGAAAGGGCCAAGGTTTACTCTTCTCAGCACATAGATGTGTCTATCAGATGTACATTCACGCACAGCAAGGGTGCTGCTTCTTAAAATGATCTGTCCAGTGATTTATTTACTATTTCTCACATTCCCAAATCTTTATACTCACAAGTCAGACACTACAAGATAGGAAATGCCAAGGGCCAATACTCTGACCGAGGCATTTCCAACCAGGGGCCAAAAAACTGGACTGATTCCTCCATGCCTTAGGAATGTAAGAACAGTACCTTGGATCAGAACAGTCCTATAACCCCACCTAAACATGGTCTTGCTGGCTTGTCCGGAGGCAATGAGATGCCTCTTCTATAAGCCAAAGCTGTATTTGTACAGCTGAAGCAACTCTTCTCCATCTAGACTCCACCAGGGCAATCCCTCAGGTTTCCAGTGATCACCAAAGGTTAGCTTGATGAATGCTCTCTTCAACCATCTTCCCTTCTGACTTTGTCCTTTTTGCAAGAAGCTGCAAAGAATGAGTGCCCAAAAATAATCCACCAGATATTTTACCTTCTCCACCACACGTTCCAGCACTTTGAGAGTCCCACTGCTCTCCCTGCAAAGCTTTGCCAGATTGTTACGGGCCTTGGCTCTTGCCCGGTTCATCTGGGACTTGAGCTTCTGCAACTGCTTTAACACCACCTCTTTCTCTTCGCGGACACGCCGATTTTGCTCCTCACTCTCCCGGGCATGGAGTGCAATCTTGTTCTTGAGGCTGATAATGAGGTCCTGGTACCAGCAACAGACATATTTTTAGGCTACAGGAGGTTCTTTGCAGTAGATTTAAATAGAAATCAGAAGTTGTGGGAAAAGGATGGGAGGAGAGAGAGCAGGTAATGGCACAGAAAGAAAAGTGGGGACTCCTCAAACCCTGACTGCTCTTTAGAAGGTCAGATCCTGAAGATGAAACTCAAATACTTTGGCCACCTAATGAGAAGGAAGGAGTCCCTGGAAAAGAGCCTAATGCTGCAAACAATAGATGGCAAAAGAAGAAGGGGACGGCAGAGGATGAGGTGGCTAGATGGAGTCACTGAAGCAGTCGGTATGAGTTTAGGTGGACTCTGGGGGATGATGGAGGACAGGAGGGCCTGGAGGAATGTTGTCCATGGGGTCGCGATGGGTCGGACATGACTTCACGACTAACAACAACAAATGCCCATTTTAGCTCTGGCCCTGCCTACAACTGGATTGTGACTCGCAATGACTCCCCCCCACAAGGTAAAATGCCCATTGACTTTAAAAACAATCCCAAGACAGGGGAGTCTGGAGTGCCTTTTAGGCTATACTTTCAGTTCACTCTGTGAAGCCCAAAAGCTTGGCTGCCACCCCAGCTGGACTAAGAACATCCCCTCCAACCATGCCATATGATCCTTTCCAGCGAGTGAGGATCCTGTCGCTGATGTACAATGTTTTTCAATGAACAAATCAATACAGAATATGCCCTGTGAAGTTAACCAGTTTGAAAACTACAGGTGTCTGAGATAAGGAAGTGTAAGCAAAGCAGTTGGTTAGCAGAAATTAGGACTGTTAGTATCCTTGTTATTCCCAGGCTTAATCCAAACACTTTGGTGCCTCATTAATATTTATTATCAGTATTTATTGCGTCTGTATACTACTCCATAGCCAAGGCTCTCCGGGAGGTTCACAGCAATTTATAAAATACAACTACAATACAATAATACAATTCAGCATGTTATACAGATGTCATAACATTTCAAGACAGAGTAGTTAAAAACAGTTTCAATAACTAAAACAATTTCAATAAAGCAAGACCTGCTAAAGCTAGACCTGTTAGAACAGTTGACATGTTCCATCATGTGCCATTAAATGCCTGGGAACAGAGGATAGTCATGGCCTGGTATCAAAATATTAAAAAATGACAATTTTGGTGCCAGGTGAGCCTCAGTGAGGAGACTTTACCTAATAGGGGTTTACCTATTATCTCCACAAAAAACCTACTAGTTCATCTAAACAGCACCTGCTAGTGAAGTGTTTATCTGCAACCACAACAGCTCTTGCAAGGCAGAAAAGAGGACCTGAAGATGCACATTGTCATGGCTAAGGATCTAGAAGCACTGGTTTCCTTGAGCAATGTCTCCAGCTGAAGACAGATTAGCTGTGAGTCAAGCAGCACCCCCACATGTTCCCGGAGGTAACTGCATGTGAGCTGCTACAGGCATGGAAGAGTTAGGTAGCTAGATAGCCAGCTGAAGTGGGGGAGTGAGCAAGAATGGTTAAAGCAGGGTACTATGAGAGGCTGTTCATGCTATAGTTTTGAAAGAATACAGCTGTACTGTGAGCTACCCACAGTGCTTCAGCTGTTGGGCAGTATAGAAATTAAATTAATTAAATAGAAATAAATGAAATTAATTGGGTGGTATAGAAATTAAATAAATACTACCGAAATGGCTCAGTACTGTCACAAACTGTAGATAAATGCAGTGCCTGGAGCATCAGTGGCCCCTTCCAACCCAATTTTTCCCTGACTCTGATAGGGGGACCACTCACCTGCATCTTCTGCAGTTTTTTCATCTGCATTTCAATCTCCCTGGTGCTCTTCTCATCCCTGGCTTTGAGCGCTTCAAAGGCAAGCTTACGATCCTCTGTTGCTTCTGTGTAGTTACGTAAGGCCTGTTGGAAGCGCTTCCACAGCTCTTCCACTTTACCCTCTAACTGCATGCGTAGATAATGCTTCTCCTCCAAGTTCTGAGGGGAAATGAACATGGATCAGTGCTCTCCAATCCCCTCCTTGCCTGGTCTGATCTGGAATCATTCAATCAACTGGTACCTCTTGCTCTGGACCAGCCTGGCCAGGAGCAACTCTCCCAAGCAAAACCCAGCTTCTTGTAGTCTGCCCAATGGCTTGCATTTTTTATTTATCTCAAGTGGAAATAACAACAGACTGCACATCATTTCAACCACAGACTTGGTATCCAACCCTGATCCTCTCTTATACAGCTCTACTTGGGATCTTACAGTGGAGCCAGATGATCTGAGGAATATGGAGCTGTGACTGCATCATGTTTCCCTCCTGCTTCTTCTCGGTGATATCTAGCATAACAATATGCACAGCATGACATCATTAACCTGTGTATTTGCCAGGTCTGCCAGATAATTTTTTGCAGAGAGGAGGGGACAGGGACCGAAACACAATGCATCATAAAATCAGGTCATGATGAGCTGTGTCATACTAATGGGAAAGGAGAAGAACATGCAACACAGAGGTGGGTCAGTGTTTCTTTCGTCTGCTTCTGGATGGAAGCCCGCTACAAGCCACTCCAACCACTGAATTCTGCCACCTGAGTAGAAAAGAACAGGAAAGGTACACCCCTCTGTATTTGGATGAAGCAGACTAGGCTGTAGCTAACAGCCAGAGCGTGGAAATCATATCAGTAGTGGTGGCTACGAATCATTGGAGAGCACATAGGCTGAGGATTGATGGGCCACAGCCTGAAGGAATAAGCATTCAGTTATAATGGAAGTAGACAGTGATCCTTGGTATTTCCAGAGAATGTCATGGATTGCCTAAGGCTTGACTGAGGGCTCTTCCAGGCTGAAGACTCCTAACACCATCAGCCATGGCTTTTTCTGTGGTAAACCACAAGCAAGACTGTATGCTCCATGTATGGTAGTGGGAAAAATTCCAGGATGTAGCCAAAGCTTTCCCTTCCTTTTACTGTTCACCCCACCTCACTGTTCACATGGATTTTTTGTTTGTTTGTTTTGCTTATTCCTCTAGAATCGCTCAGTTCTGGAAATTCCAAGGTTCACGGCTGCAGCTTTCCTCACTCCGAGTTCATGCCTAAAAGTCACTTAGCAGAGACCTGTGTTTTAGTCCCAGGGAAGCAAGGCTTTCCCCAGCACGAGCACCAGCACCCTCCATTTTTGGCTTCTCCTCAGCGGCATCCTCTTTTCCCCCCCGTATGCCCATGCTCGCAGGTCACCTCACCTCCATTCCACTCCCTTACAGTGGGAGGGCAGCACCAACAGCATGTTGGAATGGGAGCATTGCTGGCACTCAGCGTTACTCTGTAGCTGCTGCTCACCATCTCAGAGGTAGGTGAAAAAGTAACGAGTGGGCAAGGGGCGGGCATGAAGCGGAGTGCTGACGTGGCTCTGGAGATAAGCCCCAACTTTGTAAAGCATTACTTTAAACCTTAATTAGGAAGTGTGAAGGAAACCACAGTCTTGAACCTGATCTTCCAGATTTGCCCACTTCTGGAGGAATGAAGGAAAAGCAAAATTCCATGCTGATTTTCTTTCCCCACTCCTCATTGCCAGGTATCTGTTGGGAGGGTAGAAAGCAAAGGCCTCCTTGTCCAAGAAGCAGCAGTATCCCTAGGAAGAGGAGACCATGACCCAGCAAGGGAGAAGGTAGGTGTGGGCTGACCGGTGGCATCCCATCACAGCCACACCCTCAGAAAGCAATGGAAGCTCCCAGGATCAGGCAGCCCTGCTGCTGTTTTGCACAGATCATGGCATGCCAGGAAAAAAATAAGTGTAAGAAAATGCAGGAGAAGCAGAGAGGAGTAGGAGGAACATGGGAAGACACAAGATGACTTTAAATAATAATCCCACAAGGACGGCAGGCTTATGGCTCCTTAAAAGTCCTGTCTGTAAGAGCACAGAGCATTTCTATATAGCTGCCACTCTTACCATGTTTTAGTTTAAGTTATGAAAGGACAAACATATTTGACACATAACAAATATGTAAAGCTGTGTAAAACACAAAACCCACCTGAAAAAGTTTAAACAGAAGAAAAACAGCAAAGTATCAATACAAAGCCAATTATGAATTAAACAGACACTAACTTATATATTAAATGACCAAAACCAATATGCTGCAGGAAGATGTAAAGACTACAGTACTGTTAAAAAGATGCAAAGGGACTATCTACCCCAAAATCTGATACGTTTTCCCCATTCATTCGTAAACGCAGAGATTGCCGTAACGCCTCCTTCCCTTCTCCGAATCTCGCACCTTGTTCTTGACATCATCTCTTGTGCTCTGGAAGTCAAGCCTGGCCTCATATTCACTGTCAGCAAAGTTTTGTTCCATAGCCAGCAGCACATCCTGAATGTAGCGGCTCTCCTGATTATGATGTTGTATGATCAACTTTCTGGTAGAAATAGGAGCAGACACAAGAGTTTTAAAGATCCAGCTAATCACATTTGCACAGGTGCTGAGCCAGAACCTTTTCCAGGTCTTTTCCACCCCTTCTCCCCTCCTACCTCTCTGTGTCAAACTCCTTCTGCAGTGCCTGCAGCTCAGTATGGTAATCTTCGTCCAAGTAGCCCAGGCGGCAACGCTGGAGTTCTAGAAGCTGATCTATGTTGTGTAAGTGGCTGCGCAGAGCATGTGTGTATTGAGCTTCTGCTTCAGCAAGGTCCTTAGCAAGTGACTAGACGGATAGAGAAAGATTGCATGATGCTGGCAAGAGTCCTATCTGTTTCACAGATAAAAACAGTTCAGGACTAAAAATACCCCAAAATTCCTAAATACTAAATTCTGACATTAGAAATAAATCACACAAGAGTTGGGACCATGATATTTGAAGGAGCGTTTTCATCCATATTTTAAGATCTGCCTCAGGGGTCCTCATTATCATATCCTTGCAGAAGGCCAGCTTGATGTGCATGACAGGCAGGGCATTCTCAGTGGTGGCTCCAAATCTGTGGAACTCTGCTCCCTTGACTGGTATCTTGCCCCTTTGGTACAGGAAAACTAGGGCTGGGCAGTGATGTCCAGTTGGGGAAAGCACTATTCAGATAATTGCCCTGCTCACCTCTCCTTCTCACTCTTGCTTGCAAGAGATGCATCCCCAACTTAGCATCTACCTGAGTATCTTTCTTGGAAGCACAGCAACAAGGGGGATGCAGTGCTCAGCCTGCCCCATTCTTACTTCTGCTTGCCAGAGAGAGCTTCAACCCACAGGTACCAGGTTGAGGTTACCTCTCTGGCAAGCAGGAGTGAGAATCAAGAGCAGCCGGGAAATCAGCTGACTGGTGCTTCCCTCAGCCAGGTACCACCACATGGCTGATTCTTGCCACTCCTGCTCACACATGCAAACGGCTTCCCTTCAAAGCATCTGTGCAGAGCAGGAGAGAATCAGCTGAGCGGTGGTTCTCCTTTCTGCAGCACTGTCCAGCTGATTGTCCACTTCTGCCCCAAAGAAGATCTTTATGGCAGGAGTTAGGTGGAATGGGGATGCCTCTGACAGCCATGCAAAAGGGCAGCTGTCAGTGGCACTCTCTGGTTAGCTACTTGGCAAGAGCAGCAATGACTGCTCTTAGTGGTTCTTCAGTTCTGGCCTTCATACCAAGTTGGGCTGTGTTCTCCAGGTTCAAACAACACAACAAGCCATCATGGTAAGGAGAAACCATATTACAAATTATTGCTTCTGTGGTTTCTAAAAACCAAATACTCCACACTAAAATATTGCAAGAGGGATTGGATGACACAGGAGACCAGCAATGGAAAAGAAACCACCATGGCTTATTCCTTTGTGCAAATCCACCCTATGAAGAATTCTTACTGTGCTCTCTTGAACTCAGATTGTAATCAGCTTATGTGTTTTTTCACAGGAACTTCTCAAAGTATTCCATACATTTGCTAATGTGGCTCATTTGCTAATATGGCTCATATACCCTTGCTCCTGTCTTATGTTACTTGGTGAGGGTATTTGTCTTTAAAAACATATGCACATTTGCTTTTAATGGCCACATCTTCAGAAAGTTATGTACAAACAAGAGCCAAGGCAATATATATTTCAAAAGATACAGTATACATTATACAAGACTACTCCGTGTAGTCTACCTTCTGTTGCAATGCAGACACACCATTTGCTATTTTCCTTTAGCATTTGGGGGTGTTTGACCAGTGTCACACAGCAGCAGTGAGTCTCAGAAGCTGCCTTAAATTCCCTCTCCAGTGTCTAAGAGAGAGATCAGCTGTTCCACAGTCTCTGTTCATTGCTTTTAGGGACCAGGACTCACCTTAACAACACTATCTTTACAGTCCACCACACGTTCAAAGGTCTGACTGAGAATCTCTATGTCTTTGCGCAGCTCCCTGGCCTTGACTTCACGGAGCACGGTGCGCCACTGTAGATTAATCTTGTGAATGTTCACAGTGCTGTTGCGCTCCTCCTTGGCCAACTTCTCCTACATTATGGACCGTGACATTACACTAGAAATCTCAATATAGTCCAGAGATCACAAAACAATAAATCAGTGCCAGGTGAAGATAACAGAACCACTCTAAGATTCTGTGAGTTACCCTGTTTCCTCACATTTTATAACAATCCTCCTTTAAATTACAACATGAAGAGGCTGCTTCCACACTTTTTAAAAAAAAAAATTGAACAAGCCCAGATATGTATGTTATTTCTCCCCATCCTTTAAAATCACCCTCTCACAGTGTAGACTATAGTGTGTCCCCTTCTCTTCCTACAGCACAGCACAGTTCTTCCTACTTCCTTGTATTCCAGCACTCCTTACATATGGGCAAACAAATGGTACCTTTAGGAACTGGGCCAGCATGTCTTCCTTCTTCTTATTCATTTCCTCTTCAGCCAGCTGCTTCTGCTGCATCAGCAGCATCTGTTCTTCTTCAGTCAGCACCACTCGTTTGCGTCCCTTCTTCTTTGGCATGATTGCACTTACGAAGGCAGAGGAAGAACCTCATGACAAAGAGGAAGAACCAAGTTAGTTAACAAAGATATATTTGGCCTATGGCTTCTGTTCAAAGCTAGAGGTGGTCGGCTGTAACTGCTAGTCATTACTTCCACTGTAACACACCAATATGGTTAGAATATAGACCCCATTAATCTAGGCCTTCAGAATATTTTGGACCTGTGGGCACCCCCAGAAAATTCCCAGTCAGTGGACTGATGGCTTGGATCCACCTGTCACATCTGGATCTTATGTTATTCAGCAAAGACTTTTGCTTTGTGGCTACTGGACACATAATTACTCCTTAATGAGGAGCTGTCCAATTCACCTAATTGCTAACAATTGTTATATAGGTAATGCTTCCTTCAACATGTTTTGGCAAGAATCCAGCAGCTGCTTCATTTTGGGAGGTTACTATACCAACAAATTTTGTACTGAGGCAATATTTAATATTCACTCATGTGCATACTCTTTTAAATTATTTACCTGCTTTCCAGAAATGAATAAATGGCAAGTGTAAATGGATTCTCTGCACCCTTTTGACAACTAAAAGACTGATGTTACAACATTGGAAAATGCTCATCTCTTATAATGCTATGGATTGAGGACCTTACAGTACTTTCAGTAGCTGAAAAGGTGACATATAGATAATAACTTTAAATTGATACATATCTGGATATTTTGTTTGCTTTTGTTGAAACACAGGCATAATTGCTAGAAATCTGTATATTTTTATATATGATTGTTATGGACATATGCAAATCCATGTACATGTATTTAAAAATATAAAAATGAATATTTAGAAGCTTTGCAGGTGACCACCAGTATCTCACTGAGAAGCCTTTCCTGGGGGCCACTACTTTTTAAATCTATTCTTCATGCCAACCCCTTCTGTATTATCCTGCTCTTCCTCCAAGGATCTCAGGGTGGTGTGCAGACAGACAATAATCCTGTGAGGTAGATTAGGCTAAAAGATAACTCCAAAGTCACCTAGTGACCCTTAGAACTGAGATGGGATTTTAACCTGGTTCCTCCCAGTCTAAATCCAGTTGCTCTCTTCTTCCCTCCCCACCCTGCCCCTCATCTCACCTTTTTATTGCAATTTCTAGATCCAAGTCAAAGCCTCAAATTTGGATCTCGCCAGCCCTGGGGCACTCCCACTACCAGAGCTCTGTAAGCTTACAAGAGTCACGTCTGATGCAACCAGAACTGCCAGGAACACCTACTGGAGGGGAGAGAAGGAAGACTTGGATGACCCTAGCATGGCAAGTGATCAGTAACAACAAATGTGGTCCCTAAAAGCCACTTGGGCATCCTTTACATAGTTCTCACACTCCCAAAACTAGAGCTGCCACTTAATCTGCTGGAAATCCACCAGTCTTGCTCTAATAGAATTCTAAGATGGTTGAAGAGAACCTCAATCACATATATTAACTAAGCTTAGAAAAGGGTAGTAAAAGCAATATATACTTCTGTATTGTCAGTATTCACCCTCGGGGCTAGGTAGTGCAAGAGTCTTCTTACAAGCAAAAAGGTATAGGGTAGCTTTAGTTCAGACTCAGTGTAGGCTCAGATTTTAGACTTAGAGCAGCTCATAAACTAAGGCTCAGAAATAGATTCATCTCAAGTATGAGAGTTCACCTCATCAATTTGTTTTTTCAGAAATGTACAAAAAGGATAAATCTCTTTTGTACATTCTTGAAAATGCATCCAATTCATTCAGACACCCACAATCAGCCCCTCAACCCCCTAGTATCCCCAGGGAAGTCTAAACTACATTCCTTCCAAATCACCTACCCATTGTCTGTGGACCCTTCAAAGATCCATTAACTATTCCCTCTCTCCTAGACAGAAAAGCTCCACTCCCAGAGGGTTCCAATTGACCTAATATGCCCACTTACTCAAAGCTACTGCAGCAAAGTAGTTATTCAGTCTTCACTGCTTTTCAATCAAGGCCCTCAAATCAGATTGGCTGCAGGAGGGCAGGGCCACGCAACCTAGAGCTATATAAGGATGCAGGTTTGCAAGGGAGCCAACTCCCTGACTTTGAGAAAGCCTGCTGATGAAACATCCTGGTCACCAATGACAAAACAACAGCATAGAAGTGTGCTAAGCACCTGTGTGAGTTTAGCAACAGGCAAGACGTCTAGGACAGTAGATTGCTTCCTTCCTCCTTGTGGCAACTGTAAATAAATAATTATAATATACACAAATGAATATATATATATATATGTGTGTGTGTATATATATAACCCCCACCTTCTCCTGGTAAACAACTCACTTGTCCAGGTAAATGAACCCAGTAATAGCAATTAAAAGGATGAAGGTAGAAACCAGGAAGAGTGTGAGGGCTATTGTACTAGCAGTTATGTCTCTGACAAGCTGCCAGCTGGACAAAAGCTGTGGGTGTGGCCTTGATGTAATGGGCTAGTGGTTTCCAGGGAACAACTTCATTCCTTTGGAGCCAAGCTTGCTCACCTGTAGATGCTAAGCCAGATTGGTGGATGGGGCCTTTAGTGGTGTCTCAATCTTTGATTAACAGTTCCTCTGCAGTCATGGAGAATGGGGGCCTTGGGGAAAGAGGGTGTCATTCTGTGGAAGCAAATGCTCCTTTAGAAGGGGACCATTCCTCAAAAGACAAGCAAATATCCTCGAAGTTGGGTCTGGGGGTTTTACCAGTGAAAGATTTGATCATTAGACACACAGACAGCTGTGCTCATAATAGGCCCACAAGCTGCATGATAAACTGCCTGGTGTGAAGGTTGTGAAAATCACATGCTATCTAGGTTGTGTGCTGGAGAGGTTGTGATCCATGTTGGTATACCAGTGGCATGCGGCAGTAGTCATGAAGTCCTGGGGGCCAAATTTAGGTTGCTACATAAAGTGCTGACATCAAGAATCACCAAGGCAGCTTTTGTTGAAATACTACCTGTTTCAGGCACAGGTACAACTAAGAGTCTCAATGCATGGCTCAGGCAGTGGTACACAGGGAAGGGATTCAGAAGTTGTTAGCCAACAGGGAAAGTTTTGGGACAAAGTGGACCTGTACAAGAGGGCCACATTCCCCGAGACCAAAACTGAATCAAGTCACTATCTCCAAATATTAAAATGATGTCAGAGCAGCTTTAAACCTGAGCCCTGACAGAAACCAGGGAAGATATGGTTCAAGTTGAAACTTTCATAGAAAAAGGAGAAGAAAATACTCAAATTGTCCAGATGAAGAAAGAGAAGAAATAGATCATAAGCAAATGGTGAAACACCACAGACAGTCACAGAGGGGAAGGGAGTCCTTGTATAAGTGTTTCTGTGAAACTGCTAGAAGCTTCCAAGCCAGAAGAGGAGAGTTGGAGTACCTAATTTTAAAGGAGAAGCTAGATATAGTGAGCATTTACCGAAATCTGGATGAATGGAGAGAACTAGTTCCATACTATCTTCTCTGGAAATAGTAATCTTTATAGGAAGGGCAGAAAAAGGTGCATTGAAGTGTTAAGCATACTAGAAATGTATGCTTAATTTACACTAGAAAACTACATCCTCTAGTAATGAGGATGTAGTATTAAGCATACTAGAAAACTGCAACACTGCAAACCCACATAAATCCCTCCCTGCATGGCAATAAAGTGTGAGGAAGAAGCATTCTTGTTCTATTAGCTTGGAATGAGTTGGGGGGCAAGAAGCAGATTAATTATATATTTAATTTGGAATTATTTGACAGTGCCTCCTTTGCCTCTTGTGACATATTCATAAATCCTACTGATAATCTCTGTCAGCAGAAATCAACACATGCATGCTTTAGTCAGATCTGTCTGCAATAAGATTTGGCCTTGGATCACTAATGTGTCTAGCAACCCCCCTGCGCGGCAGAATAATCCACCCTGTTAAGAGGAGGCTGCCTGCCATGCCACCCTCTCTGAGCCATCTTCCTGGACTTTACACCTGGAGACATAAAGAGGCAAACGCCAGGGCACGGGCTCCTTTCCATCAGACCAACAGGTGAGAAATCTGCAGTCTGCACTGTGAACAGTTGATGCGGCAACACACACACTTCAGATCTTCTTCTCAGGAGCTGGTGCCAAGATCTTTCCAGCAAGAGACAGATCCTGCCCGCCCCTGAATTTCATATGTTGTCTCCACGAATGTTTTACTAGCTCCCCTAGGTCTGGCTCCCCTCCGGCCCGCACCGCCACGGTCCTACCTCTCTATTTCCCCCTCGGTGCTCCAGGCCGAGTCCTCGCGGTCTCCTAGCAACAGCCTCTTCCAGGTAAAACAGCGACCGAGACTCGGAGAGCCTTCCTGCGCTAAGCAGCAACCTAGAAGAGTCCTACAACTCCCAGCATGCTCTAGTCTGCCTCGCTGACTGAGGTATGCTGGGAGTTGTAGGAATTTCCCTCCTGAACACGCGTGAGATTGCGCCTTTAAATATGTGTTCAGCATACTGGCGGTGTACAAAGAGGTGTAGCCTAAACAGAAATAAGCCATCTGAGTGGGATGGTGTGACTTGGTGTCCTGCAATAGCAGGGGATTGAACCTGATGGCCTTCATGGGCCCTTCCAACTCTACTAATCTATGATTCTAAGAGCGGATAGTGCAGGATTAGAACTCCTGCCAGGAGTTTCAAAAGTGCCCCAGCAGTTTTCAATTCATAACTGAGGCTGGAGCATCCTCTCTGCTTTTTTTTATTTTTTGCAGTTATAAGGGGCATAGAGATTTCATCAAAACTGTTGGCTGCATTTCAATTGGTCATTGATTTGTTGTGATTCTGCGATTTCATTGTATGCTCAGCATCTTTGGGCCCAAGGCCCAAGGCCCAGACCTTTGAGATTTGGTTCTAGCTAATTCTGGGGTAAATCTGTTAAAACTGAACCTTGGCCTTCAAAGACCTGGTTGAAAATTAAACCATATTACCAACAAGAACCTATTAACACCATGCATAGTCTATGAACGGTTCAGCAAAACACTCCCATCATCAGTAACAATTTTCTCCTCAGCCAATTGCCTATGACCCCACCATACCTGTGCAAGTACTAATAACAACATCCTGCTTTGGAGGCTCTTTGGAGGTAAAAAGGTTGCAGTTGCTATGGCAACAGCATCTGCCTGGTACCCCACACTAGCCATCCAGACATTGCCTGGCCGTACTGAGGGAACAGCAGCCTAAAAATAGAAGGAGTCCCTCCTGTCACTGTTTCAGCAGAATATGCAGAACAAGTGGATCAGTGGAGTAGAGAAGGGAGGAGAAAGGAGTCAGGCTTAACATCTACTGAGGAGCCAATCCCTCATGAAGATGGCCTACATACCATCCCCAGACAATGCATTTCATAGTTTCTCTATGGTGTGACAAATAACACATGTTTTATGCATGGCATGACTCCCTCATTCCTGTACTTTATGTTGCTAATCTTAAAACCATGTAACTACAACAAACAATATTATTTGCTTCCTTTTCCCTCCCTTATCACCACCATCTGTCTCCTTTATGTCTGTTTCTAGATTGTAAGCAACTTGGGGCAGGAATCTGCAATGTGAGCAATAAGAATAATATATGTTATCAGGTGATAGATTTAACAGAGTTTAGACTTAAGAGTTGGGGGAAAGAGTAAGATCAGTTGTGAGGTTAATGAGTTTAAGTGATCCAATGGAAGAACAAAGGAGCAGGCAATTGGTGCAAAAAAGGAAAAGTTTTGAATATTATAACTACCTTGAATATTATAAATTATGTGACATAGCTCATGTTAAATTGGAACCAAGAAATAAACACTCCATTATCCTTTGACATAGGGGAATTTATCTGGTCATATGGTAATAATTTTCTTGATAACTATTATAAACTAACAAGGAGATGATACACAATTCAAATTACTCTTAAGATGCAATCTTAGGCATGTTTAGACAGACATTGTAGTAAAAATGCAATAAGGCTGCAGACATACACATATTCAATTACTTCAAATACTGCAGCCCTTCAGATACTGCAACCCTGTACATATTCAATCACCCCAAAGAAACTTCACAGCCCAGTTTGAAGCATTTTCCTGCTCTGAAATTTTGTGGAAAAGCTCACCATCTCAAGAAACTAAAAATAAAGACCACATGTGCTTTCAGAATCTCCCCACCACAACCCTTCCTGCATTGGGAATCCGTGCACTTCAAATGAAGATGTGGAGGCAATGGCCCCACAACATTTCTGACATTTCCACACACTCTACCAGCACCTAAGGGACATCCTGACCTACTCAGCTGGAGCAATGGAGGGAGTCAGCTTGATGTGCTTATTTTCAAAGTGTTTTACCACTTCTCACAATATAAAGCTTCCATCCATGTGGCTTAACAGTCTCTTCCGGGGGGAGAAAATTTCAAAATAATATAGCACCACAAGGTGGCGGTCGCTTCGGTGCAGAGCGTTAGTTTCTATCAGTGGCTGAGCTCACTGGGTGGGAGCGG